TTAAATATATTCATCATTTCGGAATTATTACAAAATGAAAACATTTCAACGATTCCTCTATCATTCTTTCACCCGCTTATAGAGATAAATATATTGGTATAATTATTTAAATCTAAATCTTTGAACCAAAATCAAAACTGTAAGGTTTCAAAATGCATTGTTCTTGTTATACAAATATACAAGTAATTAGTTCAACAAATTAAATTTATTGGAACAGTAAAAAATATACATAATTTTTATATTTTACGTCTATGTGTTCAATACAATTTATACGGACTCTAAATCCGTTCATATAGATATAGTACAAATTTGTCATACTCGTACACTCTACCAATAAATATGAAATTGTAGATATTGTTATTATTATAAAGTGACTGTTTATAATTAAATATTAAATTTAAACTGCTTAAAAAGACTTTTAATTTGAATGTATTCCGTAAAAAATAAATACAAAAATAAATCTAGATACAAATTTTGTAATAACTTTTTATTAAGAAACTAAAATAAAGTTCTTTATTTTATCACAACTAAAACTTTTATTCTTATTGGTTTATCAAAAAAAAAAAAAATCTGTGTGTCTGTGTGTGCAATGTTGTATTTAACTGATAAATAAAATTTAAATCAATTATTAAGAACAGTTTTATTTATTTATACGTCTTTTAAAACAATTTTTTTAATTTTTAAAACAAAATATGTTTTTGAATATATTAATCCACAAAAATAGAATATCGAACCAAGAGTTAACTAATTATGAATATTGAATTTCAGCTTATATTAGTTCAATTATACAACAACCGTTTGCATGTTTAATCCACTCTACTAATTTAAACATCAATAATACATTATTGGTTTGATATTCAATTGTATATAAATATTGAAATTTGTAATATATACTATGCTTCACGATATGAAATTAAAATTCACATTCAAAAATTAAAACAATTAAATTTTAAAAGATATTAAATTATAAAAAAAAAGAAGATCGAATTGTAATGGATTTGCAACATTTTTGTTTAGTAGCAATATAAAATGTAGTAAAAAAATTACCACAGCACAAAAATTTAACGAAGTAATGAATGCGACTTGTTTAAAAAAATGCTGTATACATATAGGTAGTAAAATTCTTTTTTGTTATTTAATTTTTCAGTATATTTATTTTAATAAAAACTACCAAATTATAAAATCGATTCATTATATTTAAATTCTTGCCGCTATTAATTTAATATCTACGTTTATATACACACAATTTATATAAAAATACCTAAATCAAATAGAATAATATTAAATTCTAATTTTAAATTGTTTTTCATTTTATTGTTTACGAATGGTTGTTAACAAAATTACGTAAAATTATAGGCGGATAGTTTTTTATTTTATCAAAACTAAAAATAATTATATATAACAATAATTTCATCTACATGTGCATTCCGGAGATTTCGATTTTTTTTCCTTTAGTTAAAATTGTAAAAAAATTCTTCAGCAATGAATAGTGAAACAAATATATATATATATATATATTAAGTAAAACGACTCCGTTTTTAAATAACGTGTTTACATCTCATTTTGAAAATATGCTAGATATTTCGGTATTTTATTTTACCTACCTTGTCGTTAATTGTCCACTTATCTGCTACGTGTGTGGTTGCCATTAAGCCACTAATAAAATCATTACTTGTTCTAAAAAAAAAAAAAATAAAAAAAAATAAAAAAAAAAGCAAAATTCATATCGAAATCGCTAAATATTTTTTTAAATATTGACAGTTTCTTCAACGAAAATTCTTCATCTATATTCATTAGACCGCACACCACGATCATCAATATTGACCACTGGAGATCGATCATTAAAAAAAAAAAAATTTAAATCATTGTGCGGTCTATGTGCATTCGTTATTAGAGTTCAAATTTCCGAGAAATAATTTTGAAAACAACATAGAAATTGAAACCTGTAGACTTTTACGAGGAAACGTTTATTAAAACTGTTTTTGGCGATATCTAGAACTTTCAGAAACTAACAACACAAGACTAAAGTATCATATGTTTCATAGTTGGTAAATTTGTACAGGTGCACACATTACTGATAATTTTAAAAATAAAACTTTGACAATTTAATTTTAAAATGTTTTAAAAATAGAATATCTATATTTCTATGTACATAATCTACTATATTAGTTTTCAACATATTACAAACAAATATCTAAGCTCTTTTAAAATGTAAATTACCATGTGTAGATTATATATTTTGTATTTATATACATGTATTTTTTTTTATATTGAAATAACCTTTATATAATTATTTATATAAATCATTATATATTTTATATGTATACAAATTCGTATTTTACATTATACCACGATAAGTATCTTAACAAAGCAATACATCAAAGTTTGGTTTGAAAAAAAATGTGATAATTAAAAAAAAGAGGTTTGTAACGTACATATTTGAATGCTATTAAATCAAAACGACCATTTATACATGTTATATTACTGAAGAAAATTTTGCTTGTTAAAATAATAAACTTAATTCTAAAATTTAATACGTAAAATTTATAAAAAATTTACATAGTAATATCGGCATAAAAAATGCAATAGGGCCAGAAAACCCCGTTTTTATGGTTAATTATTTTTGAACACCATTTTCTTTGTATTGTATAATTTACCATAGTTGTGAAATATTTGAATGACATTTATTGAAAATGTTATATACTCATCATTTCAATGTCATTTCAAGTCTTTAGAACTTATGTTGGAATGATTCAATTGGATTTCATTATATACAGTACAGTCACGTCATCAAAATTTGATTGGCATACCAACACTGAATTCCAGTTAAAAACGAAATTTGAAATCTGGTACAGTTAAAAGATTTTTTAACAGCATCCAACATTTAAAAAAAAAGACCTTAAATAAATAGACAGAGAGACAAAAGTACAGATAAATAAAAAAATCAAATACACACTTACGATTATTTTAAAATAAAAAAACTTTATTCTAACCGCGACACAGATAATAGTGAATATAGTGAAGAATGACCATTTATACACTGGATTGTAGTACAGTATTCCCAATCTGTTTTTCCCGATCAATTTTTTCCAATTAATTTTTCCCAATTTTTACTATTCCCGAATCTAATATGCCCTATCCATTTTTTCCAATTTCAATATTTACCATAAAAACATTTTCCCGGAATATATTTTTACAAGTTTAATATTTTTAATTATGGCCGAAATTATAAATTCTAATGGAAGAGGAAAGCTTCTTCATGTTGATGGATATCTCTACTATAAACATTTGGAAAACAAAGGTCGATTTTATTGATGTTGTTGTAAAAAAAGTGAATACTCTACTTGAGCTATAACGAGTAATTCTGGACAAAATATACTAATCCATAAAGGCCCTCAAAGTTCTATACATGACCACACACCGAATTTAGAAGAAGTTTATGCCTTAAAAGTTATGACAGATGTAAAAAGAAAAGCAAGTGAATATTCTGAAGCATCCCTTGCACATATCTTGAGAACAGAATAGCAACAATTACCAACTAGAATTTTAGCAGAACTTCCTGAGCGTCAAAATATAAAAAAGGCAATAACACGACAACGTGTAAACAATATACCGTCGAACCCTCGAAATATGAACGAACTGCATAAATTACCAATTCAGTTTAAACAAACTATAGCAGGAGAGCAATTTTTGTTATACGATTCATTTGACGATATTGATTATCAGTTAACATGTGGAAGAATAATAATTTTTGCAATGAAAGAAAATTTGAGAATTTTAATAAATAGCCCTACTTGGTTTGTTGACAGAACATTTAAGTTGTTTCAACGATATTTTTTCAATTATTTACCATACTAGGACCTACCACACAGACAACAAATGGAACCGATCAAGTTATTGGACTTCCGTTGGTATACGCGTTACTAGAGTCAAAAGAAGGAGCAGCGTATTCATAAGTATATGAAGGTTATACTTTCAGAGGCACAAAAATTTTGAATAAATATTGTAAAACCACAATTTGTGATGACTGATTTTGAACAATCAATTATAAATGCAACGATTAAAATAATTGGAGTTGAAATACACACTTGTTTATTTCATCTTTGTCAAAGTCTTTATCGTCATATACAGGCAGAAGGGTTACAAAGTCAATATAATGATCCAGAAAATCGTACCTAACATAAAGATCACAGCTCAGATGACCGGTGCTTTAGCATTTGTGCCGCCTGAAAAAGTTGTCGAAACATTTGATGTTTTATTAGAACAAGTACCAGACGAGTATATGCCAATTGCAGAATATTTTGAGGTAAATTATTTTTTTAATATAAATAATATAATATTCAAATTTTAAATTTTAAGTATAATTTAAATATTTAATGTAGATAAATTACATCCGTGGGAGGCAAGCCAGAGGTCAGAGGAAAGAAACTGAACCCAGATTCCCCCCAAAACTATGGAACCAGTACCATAGAGTACTCCAACGATTGGCAAGAACAAATAATTTGTCAGAAGGCTAGCATTATCGGTTCCAAGTGGTTGTTGGATGACAACATCCTAGCGTATACACATTTTTTAATGAACTTGGAAAAGAACAAGCTGACACTGAGTGCATGTTACGACAACTGAATCTTGGACAAAAAATAAGGAAATTTCGTAATAAGGTCCAACTAAAAATAGAGGAACGAATTTATAATATTGTTTCTAAATATGACGAATTTGTTAATAACAATGATATTATTGCATACCTCACGGCCATTGGTCATAATTTAAAATTTTAGTACTCTTATTTAGATAACGCAACGAGAAGGGAAAACCTATATGGACCAGAGCCAATGGTAAGTGAAGTGACTAGGGAAGAAGTCAATGAAGCAATAAAAGACCTAAAAAATTGGAAGTCACCTGGATCGGACGAAATACCAGCTGAACTCATTAAATATGGTGGAAAAGAGATGCAAAACCTCCTTTTTAGGATTTGCCAGAAGATCTGAAAAGATGAGAGCATGCCAAAAAGCTGGAATGAAGCCATAATTATTCCGATTTACAAAAAAGGTGACAAGTCAATTTGTGAAAACTATAGAGGAATATCAGTGCTTAACTCAGCTTACAAAGTGTTTGCGAGAATACTATTAAAACGGCTAACACCGTACCCAGAAGAAAACTTAGGCAGATACCAGTGCGAATTCCGAAAAGGGAAATCAACAATACAACAACTCACTATCATAGGCCAATTAATAGAAAAAATATATGAATTCCGCCAAAACATCTGGCAGCTATTTGTTGATTTCAAAAAGGCCTACGATAGTATACATCGACAAAGTCTCTACAACATAATGGAGGAGTTCGGGATCCCACAAAAATTAGTGACGTTAACAAAAATGTGCATGGAAAATACACAGTACAAAATAAGGGTTGAATCTATGGTGTCAGAAGCCTTTGAAGTAAGAACTGGATTGAAACAGGGAGATTCATTATCACCTTCCAGAATAAATTCTTAAAATCAAAATTATTTTCAAAAAAGACTAAAACCAGACTATATACAGCAATAATAAGACCGACGCTCACCTATGGCTGTGAAGCATGGACTACTACCAGCACAACCGAAAGAAGACTTAGGACCTTTGAAAACAGAATTTGGAGGACAATTTGTGGATCAGTTTATAATAGCGTCAATTTAACCTGGAGAAGAAAATACATCAAAGAACTACAAGACGAATTGGGAATTGCATCAGTTATCAGCTTTATAAGAGGGCAAAGGATCCAATGGTTAGGACACGCGATGCGGAGAAGTGAGGATGATATAAGTAGAACAATCCTAAACTGGAAACCAATGGGAAAGAGACCGCGAGGAAGACCCAAGAAAAGGTGGTTGGATGTTGTGGAAGAAGATCTTGAAAGATTGGGAGTACAAGAGTGGAGGGAAGTAGTACAGGACCATGAAAAATGGAGAGATATTGTGATGGCGGTCAAAACTTTTAGAGAGTACTAAGTGCCAGAGGAAGAAGAAGAAGTACTCTTATTTATTTATAGTCATTTTGTTTTACTTTTACATTTTAAAATTGACAATAAATCATTTCTGTTTTATATTGGGGGAATATAATTTTTAAAAAAATAAATAACTTTTTGAAAAAATAATATTGTGAAAAGGAATTTTTGGGAAAAATCATATTGTGAAAAAGAACTTTTGGGAAAAATGGTATTGAGAAAAAGAACTTTTAGGAAAAAAAAATGTGATAAACAGATTGGAAATAGTGTCTCCCTACCATACACTGAACAAAGGTATCTGAGAAATATTGAAAAAATTAAATAACACTGATGATTGGACATCTAAATAAATCATTACGGCTAAAAGATTTTGCTATGGACAGGCTTTTTTAAACATGCAGGCTTCTGTAAAAAGAAGATATAAAAATATTACAAAATAATATAAATATTACGTTTTTACTGTAAAACTACCAACATGAAATTATTTACCACGTACTCGTATTATTGCCAAAAGTGCACTATTATATAGGGTATATCTCATATAGTATGTAACCTACGTTAGGCATTTATTTTTTATTAGGATGGACATACTTTATTCACAAAATTATATATTTCTATATCTTCAATAATTGTAATTCCTAGTTAAGGACATAATATTATTTAAGGATGAAATCAGTTATATCTTCCACTGTTCAGTACTTCAGTAGTTCTGACACTTCATTTATTCGAATACCATGCTTATGTTTCTCTCCGATACATTTCACTATATTGTATTGTTTTGTTATACTAGTCGTTTGCGTAAACTAAATGCACCTGATATTTTGTAATTGACAAATAATTGTCGGTTTAGAAAATTTAGACAATATATCCACCTAATACCTACATATTATAGATACCCTGTACATAATAAATGTTATTTAATACATTTTTAGCATAAAAAATATTAAAAAACATATTAATATTTTTCGATTAAGTATCTCGGAAGCTTTATTATGCAAGATGCATTGTTTTATATTATTTTATATTATCTCCCGTATAAAAATACATAAACACATTTTCAGGTACATGTTGTTTTTAAGCCCATAATAAATTGATAATTGAAAAATATCAATAAACAAACCGTTCAAAATGTATAATAAACCATTAAATATATGGTTATCTCATTTTAGCAATATTTTGTAGGTATACAACACTTAAGAGAACATTTTAAATCGATTGACCTGAGTTCACTCGATGAACTATTTATACCATCAGTTGGTAAAGTTATTCATAATAATCTAGTATGAATCACATATATTTAAACCCATGAAATATTTTTTGCATAGGAACTTGAATACATTTTTTTAAATATTATGAAAAAAATACATTTTTATACAGGAAATTGTTATAAGTGCAATATGGTTGAATTCTCACAGCATATATAAAAACGTTGCTGGTCCTAGATGGATATGTGGTAATTATACAATATTTTGCGAACATATACACAGTTATTACGAAAGTGAAAATATTCCAAACTTCAATTCCAGCATCCTGAGTAAATTTAATTACTCTAATTTTGAAACAACACGAATTACTGAAAAATATGAGACGAAAGTAAATACAATTTTAAAAAGCATCTGCGCATAGGATGAAAAATCAAATTCAATGTACTGAACGTATACCTATAGGTACAACGGAGAAGGTGAACTAATTTCGCCGAATCGTGGAGATGGTACTGAAATTGCAATGTCCGGTAAAACAGGCCATTATATTATGCAATTAAAATGAAACATTATACAATAACAGCGTAGTATATTCCAAGTACGCACATGGTCACCTTGTATCCTAGAACCATAATATTGGTATGAGTATTATTGTTCATATTAAGATAATACACATGAAAATTATAAAAAAATTGTTCGTCGACAATAAAACTATTACAAGTGTAAAATCACCTCACACTATGCGGAGGAAAGGAAAATTGACGGGATGAAAAAATACCAAGAATAATCCCAAATACATATATATATATATGTAGATATTGTACATATTTGCGATTTTTTTTTCAAACCTGAACCCCTCCATCATGCGCACAAAGGCGCGTGCGTCCGAGTGAACGTGATTAAACGGCCAAGGAGCAAAAGTGCGCTTATCCCAGGGAATAGGTCGTAAAAACCAATAGGTATACGTACATACGTACACATATATACTATTACATGCATACGCATATAATGTGTGACATATCTACAGAGGAGGGTAAAAGGAAAAACGGTGTCGGTGGTGGCAGCAGTAAAGGGGATGTGGAAGCAACAGGGATTATTGTTAAACCTTATACACATGTATGTGCGGGGACACGTATATATTGTGGAACGTTTGACCGAGGGTGGCACGTGTATACATACATATACATATTCAAGTAAATATATATATATATATATATTTATATATGAATATATACGCATATACTTATGTATGTTTATATAAATGTATACATGTTCATATACCATAATGTATTTATGTACAGTGTGCACTCATTATGCTGCCGCGTTCGACCGTATAATGGAAAACGTTCGGTTGGCGACTTATTTTTTATACACACACACACACATAATTCTTACGCACGTGAGTCACGTTAAAGCGATGTAATTGTAGTGAAAATGCATTGCACGCGTGCATGGAAATATGCATTGTACCGTCACGTGGTCTTCGTGCAACTAAAAGAAACGCGTTTTATATTTATTTATTAAAAAAAAAATATATATTTTTATATACGTGTGTTTATTTTTGTTTATTTTTCATGGCATTATTTTGTCATTGTCTTCACCCAGTATAAATGAAACGTTTAGGAGGACATGATCATATTCGTTTACTATTTCCATCACTATCTATACTTAGATAAATCAAAATCATGTTGTCTGGGTTACCAAAATAATATTGCGGTAATCAAAAACTAAATTACCAAATATTAAAATTAGAATGTTCTCGAGATAATTTCATACTTATAAAATATTATCTAACAGAGGTGTTCCAACACGATATCACGTATATACATATAAGCATACATAATAGACGTGCACAAACCTGTATTTTAGGGGTGCCTACAATGCTTTTGAGTTTTATCTTAACAAAACATATAAGTATATTTAACAAATTATAGTGCATAAATAATTAAATAAACATAATTTTAATTTTATATCTAACATAATAATATATTAGTCCAAATTAATATGATTTCTTCGAATCTCATATATTTTTCTCAGTTAGTTTCAATTATTTAGGAATTGTGATTTTGTAGTCAATTTTAGCTGTTATATTATCATAAAAAGTTTTTACACGAATAATTGGGATATTTTATTTAATTTTATTTTTTCTATTACAAAACATCATTCAAGAGCGTATTTGAGGGACATTTGCCCTCCCAATGGCTCGTATTTTTTTTGAATATAATACATTAATTTATTTAAAAAATGAAATATATAAATAATTAAGAATATAAATTACTAGTCTATCATTATAATATGTTATCATTATAACAGAAACATGAGCTGTAGGTAATGAACTGTAAATTATTTTTAAGTTTGTATTGAAGAAAAATTAGTTTCACCCCCCCCCCCTCCCCATGGCCGCAACTCATATACGCCCTTTTATTTTTTACAATATATTTTAGAATAACTATTATTTTATTTGAGCAACATTAGTTGAAATACAGGCTTTACTCATAGACTTAAATAGTAGACCTCCATTTACGACATTTCGGGACTAATCTACCACTCTCGGCATCCCCCGTGCGAACGCCTATACATACATATAAAACAAATAATACAAACAGTAGGTACATTAAAATATGCAGTATGGTATAACGTGTAAGATACTATAGCCTCTCTGTCGAATGATATTTTACAAAAATAATTCGATATTATCTCGGACGTATTTTAACATACATATTTTTAGACTGGATACATTTGTTTTCCCAACCGATTTACTTCTAAGCATGGACGGATCCAGCATCTATTTACAGTTGGGAGACTTAAGAGAAATTGCATAATAAAGCTGATCATAGGCATATGTATGGGTATCTTGGGGGGGCTTAGATCCCCAAAAATAATGTAACAATATTTTACTAAAACTGTCAACATTTATTTTTATGATCTATTGTTTAGTTCTTCTAAATATACTTTATTTTTACCAATATTTTTTTCCAACGGGAATGGCACTTTCCCCCAGTACTCCTCTAGATACGTCCATACTCCTAAGGTGATAGGGATGGTGAAGGCAACGTTTGTATTATTACGATATTGGTATTTCTCAAAAGTTCATTTAGCCGTCTAAAATATTCACATGCTCATGATTTTCACAAAAACCGTTCCATAGGTAGGTTCATGATGACAACAAAAAAGAAACGTAGTACACTACTTGATATTTTCTATTTTTTTGCTGTTCGGAAAATACATTGAATCATAAAAATAAGTCTTAACTAACAGTAACTCCCAAATATATATATATATATAAATATATAATACCATGTTTTTTCTTCTCATCTAACATTTTATAGTAGTTGTCTAAATATTGTACGAAATACATGTAATAAATAACGTACAGCGGCATCGCGTGCTCTTAATAATTTATGACGAACAAGGCCGAGTCTCGCCCGTTGACCGAACGACGACTTGCTGCTGCGGTGTACTATATATGTATTATTTATTCACAAGATAACGGTACATTGTTAGTCGGCAGATGTTGGGCAGGTATACACATACCTGTTTATACGGAACACACAGAGATCGGCTGCGAGCCTATCGGGTCTCTTGACTACAGTTTTCCTGCCCAGTACGCGGGATTTAACCTAAAACCGACCCATCCCTCAGTAAGTCGTGACTACGCGTTATTGGATGCCAGACATTAGTCTTGCTATATTTATGACACACGTGCAAGCAACACTTTGAAACAATAATGTATTAACGGTGAATAGTGCACGATAATACAACGTGGTTAAGTGCGACGATAGCTGGTAATGTACGCGTCAAC